CCCCAAAACCCCAAAACCCCAAAACCCCAAAACCCCAAATGGGATGATTACTATTGAAAATTAGCTATCAAATTGAAAATCTTTGAGCCTAATGAAGGCAGTTCCATTTTGGATAACCTTCTCAGTCTCGATGGCAACATCGGTCTTGTTGTTAGGGTAGTTAATCCTTCTCCTCCTAGCATCTTCTTTGACGCTTCGGATGAAGTTCAGATTCCGAATTTCTTCATGCTTGTGATCTTTAGACAAGGTGCTTTTTGAGTAGTCGTTATTTTTAAGGTCTTGAAAGTCTCCAATGGGAGGCTCTTCTCTTCTTGAATGAATCTTATCAACATCAAATGTCTGTCCCATCGGGGTATACTTCCACATTGAGCTACCATCATTAGTAAAGCTCATCATTTCAAGTGCTTCAAGTGGCTCTCTAGATTTCTCACAAGTCTTGAGGAGGCTAGTCTTAGTCACCTAAAGTGATTATGCTGCGAGAACAACCTTGATATCAAGCCTAGCATGAATAGGCTCTTTGACCATAGGACTTGTGCATGAATTATTCATCCTAAGAAACATGAAATTAGGGAGTACTTTTTGTCTTGAGCAAGGAACGTGCTTAGGCTTCTATAAATTATTCTGGTTCTTTACTCTAGCGCTTTGTGTCTATTCTCCAGTGTAATCCCTTTCGCATTTATCCCATCCAACAGAGAAGGAGAGTCAAGAGTCTATGAAATATTTCCAACCAAAACTTACTGAGCTTTGAAAGTTAGATCTAACAGGCTTCATTTTCGGTGAGTAATACAAGCAATTCATAGTTCAATCAGGAAATATCTTGGTCTGATTATCCTGGTTATATTCTCACTAGTTTTTAATTGAAACAACAAATACAACTGATTTTTAAGTTTTGAATAACTTCTTAAGAAGAATTCACATAAAAATTCTACTAAATGGTATTGCCAGGAGCTCTTCTCTAATAATTATCTACTAAAATGCTAAAAATCCTTTAATCTCTCTCATCCCTGAGCCCGTACATATTTATCAGCATCTAGGTTATCATGATTCCTTCTATTTTTGATAGGCTGTTCTTTGGAGACTTTTGGAGCCGCCTAGAGGGATTACAAAAGAGACTTACTAGATGCATCAAATTGCTGATAAACTCCAGATAATGATTTATTTAGCCTCACTTGGGTCAGTAAGGAATTTTCAGAGTTTTCCTTCGTAGGGTAGCCCATGTTTGATGATGGGAGATATTTCCTGTTCAGATGGCTATATTTACTGATTTAGACCACATCCTCTCGGGTTAGATCACAGCAAGCTTTAGTGGAGATCCCTTGAGAGCATCATGCTGCTTAGGGATTTGTAAGAATAAGATTGCTGAAATTCGAATCTCATGAATTTTTCAATACTGAATTGTCTTACATTCTTTTGGTAATTGTGTTTGACTTCGCCCTCTGGTGGTTGAACAAGTTGTTCTTGACTAGAGATTAAGCAATAGGAATACATTGCTTGTGGGGAACTCTATAGAGGATATTGCGGTCTAGAGCTTCATTAAGGGAAAATTACCAGTTCCATCTTTATTCTTATTGACAATATCGAGGTAGCTCACATTCATCGCTGCAAAGGTGTTAAAGGAAAGTACCTATTTTATTTGGAAATCGAGCGATTTTGAGTATCGACTAACTTTTGATTAAAGAATAGAGACTTGAAAGATATATTATTCTTCGATTCCTTCTTTTTCTACATCAAATAAGTTATGCATTTAGAAAGATAAAAATTTATACAACGATGGTTAATTATCCAAGCTGAAAGTACCAAAACAACTCCATACAACCTACCTTGGAAATCTTATTTTTAAAAGACTTATATCTCAAATTGAGCTTAATCTTTCTCTTTCCTACATACAATCCCTTATCTCCCTTCCACTTCAATCACTCACTTGTCAAACTCCTCTCTGACTCCTTCACCCCTAGCCCTAAACCAATCTCACTCCCAAAATTCCCACTCAAAAATCCCACCTCTCGTTCACTTTCTTCTATTACCACCTAAACACATACTTGTTTTGTTCATATTGTTCATATTCATGATGTTCTTAATTCTTCAACTAATATTAATCAGAAAGGGGTTTTGGGGTTTTGGGGTTTTGGGGTTTTGGGG